AAGGAGAAGGTAACAAACAGCCTGGCTGCTGGATAAAGAGCCTCATTGGTTTCTTGGAAGTCTGCTGGCCTTGCTGCTCTTTCTGCTCCACATTAAACCATCTTTGCAGGAGGGCCACTAATTAAACTCACCAGCTGCTTGTTGGGAGACAGTCTGGTCCTCGGAGGGGAGGGAGGAGTGCAGGGCTGCAGTTTGCACTTTGCCTTGAGCTCCTCTCCTAGCCTGGCTGCGGTTGGGGAAGGGCCCAGTGCTCCTTTTCCCCAGCCTTTCTTTTCCTGCATTAAGCAGGCTCTGCTTTGATGGATGCCTGCATTAGTTGACTGCATGCAGAGTCCAGCTGGTCATGTGAGGCTGGCCGGCCAGCCTGCCTCTTCCTTCCCTAGGCTGAGGTGAGGCACCGCCTCTATTCTGTGGCTCCCTCCCCGATGTGTATACGAGGAGCCGAAGAATAGCAGACTCCGGGTTCCTTCAGCAGCCAGTGGCTTTGCTGCAGAAGGCGCTGGGCTGAATTCTGGAGGAGCTGCTGCTGCGTTTGGATTCGTGCCGTTGCTGGCTCTTGACTCTGGAGATCACTCAACATTACAAAAAGGCTGGGTGATGGAAGTGACAATGCAGGAACCATCCTAAGAAGCTTTTCTGATCAAAGTGGATCTAACTGGAGACTGGCCGGATTTGCAGTTCCGTGACTCTCCTCACCTTTGCTTTCCTCCCCACCCTTCTTTTCCCCAGTTGGTTTTACGCTCAGGATTACTTTGGAAACTTTACTGAAAAAGAAAACGTTGGTTTTCCACGCCCTGGCCATGTTCAGGAAACGGCTTGCCTTTCATGGATGTGTGCCCCCTTCTGGGTATTGTGTTTGCGCTGGTTGTCTGCAAGCCTAGGAATTTCCAGGAGGGGCCTCTGTTGTGGATTGTTTTTGTTTCTATGGAGAAACGCAATGAGCTGTTTTACTCCTGATGACGGGGAAATCCACCTTCAGTTTTTTGTATGCCTGGAAAGGAATCCTTTATACATGTCTGCCAGGAAATAAAAGCAACAAAAGAAAAGGTAGCACATTTCTAAACTGGGGTTGTTTTGGCATCTCATATTCAAGAGTTGTGTGGCCCTGGCATTTCACAGGCATTTCACTTGTTTGTTTTAAAGAAATGTGAGAAACACCTGTAAGTTTTCAGCAGATGGCAATTTAGTTGAATTAATCCTTCTTGTAAGTAGCAGAACCACATACTGTATCACAAACAAAATCTTCACGTGCTTTAAATGGGAATGGAATAATTGCTAATGTTTTGTTTTAGCTCAAAATTTACTATATGTCTGAAATGTGACAAAGAACCAGAGGAATCACTATGTAACGTTTGCAATACGTTATTAAGTAATTGCTTCAATTTGGAATTTGGCATGCCCTGATACGATAATCCAAAGATATATAATTTGGCAATTTGTATTTGAATTCGTGAGGTCTTTCCAATTATTGAGCCAATTAAAAATCATCATCTTTTATGTGGCTAAAAATCGTGAAGAGTTCGCTCATTGTTGTCTAATTGTACTTGATTTTAATTGTAATTGTACTTGATTTTTTTTTCTAATACCAAAATAGAGCAGGATCCCCTTTCTGTTAGAGCAGAAGCCCTAAAAATACTGTGCAAGATAGAATTTTGGCATCTCAACAAGTAAATTGTATTGTCACATGATTGCTGACTGATGAAAAATAGTGATTTTTAGTACAGGTAGCAAGTAAAGTATTGATGTGGTCAGAAAACAGATCTACTTACATTGTGTAACATTGGAGATCTGTTTTACAGTTGGGCATGATCTGACACGCTCCATGATAATGAGGCAGGATCCCACATTCATCCACACCCTGTCATTTGTATATTGAGAAAGTATACAAAACACTTAAAAGTGGTGAGTCACTGGCTAATTCTCTTGCTGGATAAAGATTAGTTTCAGTTCTCTACTCCCAGCAGAGCAGGCTTTTGCATATATTTCCATCCGATATTGATATAGTTTGTTTTTGAAGATTTAAAGATGGGGTAGGGGAAATGGGGAATACTTCCAGCTGTTAATAACTGGCAATTTGCGTTTGCTAATACTTTAATTGATATTATGTGATATTAAATCTGGCCTGTAGATGAAGGCAGTAAGGGACAGTAATTGGAATCTCAGATCCTTTTTCATGCATGACTTCATATAACTATTTGATAGTAATTTATACCTGGAATTATACTGCTTTGAACACAGAAGTGCTTTAAAAACATTTTATAGTAAAGCATGAGACCTACAATAGTGGATCAGCCAGTACTTAGCAACTAACATGAGCACAATTATACTTAAAGAATTGGAAAATTAGTTTTTAAATAGGTCAAATAAGAATTTAGTACTTTAATAACAAGCCCAGATTTTGTAGTTCTAGAAATGAAATATCATTTGAAACAAGCTAGATATTTAAGTTTCCAAAACATGTTTTTGGTAAAGCCAGTTCAGTTTAAATTAAGAGTCAACATACTGGTTAGGGTGTTGGTCTATGACTCAGGATTAGATTCATGTCCACACTCAGCCATGAAAACTCACAACCTGTCCTTCATAAGATACTACAAGGATGAAAGTGGAGAAAGTTCTAGATGTGGTGGAAAGAAGCTAAATGAATAAATAGAAACTTGTCCTGTCCATCTAGATTACTACAATGGTGATCAGTTTCATCCAACCGGATTAACGATTTCATCACATGAAGGCTTTCTCTTCTGGCAGATGATTGGTAGTATGGAAAGTTACCAAGTTATTTTAAGCAAGCTCAGTAAAACAGCCTGTAAAGCATTTATACCAATAAGTTTACTAAAAATTACAATTTTATATACTATTGTTCCATGAGGCCATCCAAATGAACTAATTGTAATGGGCAAAGAATCTAGTTCGAAGACTTTTCTAGAGTATGCTCCTCTCATCATAGATATAGAAAATGTGTATGAGAATGGGGTCCCTTTCTTACTTTTCAAGAATCAGTATTCTTCAGATGGATTCTAGAACTAGTGAATACTCCTCCTCTTATAAACAGTGTGGGAATTGTTTCACAGCAAGTGTAAAACCCAAATGATTAATCCCTTAGCGTACGAAATAAGTAGGGCTGAGCTTTGATAAACCTGATAAAAGTAGTTGGAAGCACTTGCTGTCTGATTAAAGGGTGTAGCAATGCGATTTCTAAATCACTTTACAGGATTGTGTATTATGAAATATGTGGCCTGGTTGAGTGTGGCTGTTATGTGTGTGTAATGCCCATCTTTTGGGGTGTGCGTGCTTTACACAACAGGACAACCAAATACATGTTTGCCCATTCCCTCATTATAATATATTTGATTTAAGGAATGTCTTCTTTGGTCATAAACAGTTCTGGAGGAAATTTATTTAGAGTTCATAGGCAGAAGAGGCATTTCCTCTCTTTTAACAAAAAGGAGAAATGCTATCCCACCATGCTACATGCTGCCCTTACCTTTTTAATTACAGCAGCTGAAATTTGGCAGTACTTTTGCTTTAATCGTGTTTCTTTCAGAGGAACTTGCTGCCAAGTAAATTGGGACATTGTTTTAATTTGAATACTTTTAACTACTGAATCCTCTACCCCATTAATTGGCTTCACCATACAGAACTTTTTTGGGTTTTGCAGATGCTTCCTGGCATGCATAGGGAGACTGTTCGCAGCCCACTGAGGTTAGCTATATTTAGATATAGGTATTTAATAGCATTTCAGCCACGCAAAACATGTAGCCAGATGGCCAGGGAAAATATTTGATGAAAATGTTCCGATTAGTATGAAAAACAAAACGTAAACTGTCAAGTTGGTGGAATGTGGCACCTTCAAAATATTGATATTTTGGTCCCACGTGTTTAGGAAGAGCCTGCTTTTCCATCTTTTGTTTAAATCCCCACAAAGCAGAAATGTTGGCTAAGGGTGCTGCCATTCCTCCTGGGCATAATGCCATCGCTTACCTCCTAGGTGTTTTGTCACTAAGCTGATGGCAGTTTTTGCATTGCAAGTGGCCTGGCAGAATAGCTAATTATCACCCAGGGTGTCTTGGGAAAGGTTCCCAGTGAATCCAGAAGTAGGTTTCTTCAACAGCACATAGCTACTCAGGAAACCTTTTTATTTTTAACTAGCAGCTAATTTGGAGATGTTGGAAAATCCTGACCGAGCTTGATTACTTTGCCAGCAACGGGCAGTTCCTGTCAGTAGAGAATTTCTCTGAAAAAGATGCCAGAAAACAAGTGAAATTTTCAAAGACTGCTAGATTTTGTTTATGGTTTGGCAGAAGAGTTTTGGCTATGTTGTTGCGGTTCTATCTAACTTTGGAACCTCTGGACATTTTCTTGATATTTCCAGTTCCAGGAATACGTACAGATCCTGTTAATCAAGCATATCATAATGAACATTTTGCCATACAAAATAATTTTTCAGTTACTCATTGATATCTTAATTTACCAGTTTGTAAACTTCATAGATATTTGGGCTAAAATGCAGGTTTGCTTTAAAAAAAAGAGAGAAAAGTGTTCTAAATCAACTTACTAGAGTTGGTATTTAAATGAGCACTCTTTTAAAATATTGTTTATTTAATAGCAATGCTGGAAGGACAAAAATGAGGAAAATGCTCCCATAGTGATTCCATTTCAGGTAAAACCTGTTGCTATTATCAAAACCTTACTATCTTTTAGAGGCACCTTCAGAACAGATTTGAGACCTGCCTATAGAAGGTAACTATTTTAGCAGTAAGTAACTATAGGACATTTTGGGGACTGTGCACATCTAAATACCAGTTGTTCAGAGAGGTATATAGCCTTTATTGTTCTCTTTATCAACATCTGAAAGCCACTGTGAGAACTGGTTGCACTGAAGGCTCTGTGGATCAGCCCATAGTTGCATTTGATCTTTCTCCCCACAAAATATAAAAGTTTGAGATGATTGTTGCTAGTTAAAAGGAACTCACTTTGGTTTTTGTTTTGTTTGTTTCTTGCAGAAATGAGTCGTCAGACTGCCACAGCACTTCCAACAGGTACCTCCAAGTGCACACCGTCCCAAAGGGTACCGGCCTTGACGGGCACCACCGCTTCCAACAATGACTTGGCCAGCCTCTTTGAGTGCCCCGTCTGCTTTGACTATGTGCTGCCACCTATCCTCCAGTGCCAAAGCGGGCACCTCGTTTGTAGTAATTGCCGCCCCAAGCTCACCTGTTGTCCGACCTGCCGAGGACCGTTGGGTTCCATTCGGAATTTGGCTATGGAAAAAGTTGCCAACTCCGTACTGTTTCCTTGTAAATACGCCTCCTCCGGCTGCGAGATCACCTTGCCGCATACCGAGAAAGCTGACCACGAAGAGCTTTGTGAATTCAGGCCTTACTCTTGTCCGTGCCCTGGGGCCTCTTGTAAGTGGCAAGGCTCTCTGGATGCTGTCATGCCACACCTCATGCACCAACATAAATCCATAACAACGCT